CCGCCCGTCCGCTCGCCCGTCCGCTCGCCCGTCCGCTCGCCCGCTAGGAGTGCGACTCGGTGGTGCCACATTCTGGACTGTCACTTTTCTTTGTATTTTCCACGCAGCGCGGTGGATAAAGCGGGTTCGCAGCTGGTTTTTTCGGAGTTCTCATGCTTCCGCCGCCTCTTTTGCAACTGTTGCCCCGTCGTCATTCATTCCTTCTTCGTCATGACCATCTAGTCATTAACACACTTACCATCGCCGGTAAAGTACTAGAAGCTCTAGTGCAAGAAGCCTGATCAAAAGTTGAAAAAGAAGAAGAAAATTATAAAGAAATGATTGAATGCTTATGAGGGTTACTTCGTAAGGATCCACATCTCTAAAGGAATTCGTTCTAGTTCGGGAATGGAAAAAATTATAGTTTGCCTTTGCCTATCATACCATATATTCAGAACTGGTTCATCCTTACCCCGAATTGGAACCCTGACCGAACCTTGCGTTGAGTGCAGGCGCTGGTCGGTTGTCAGCGAGTCGGCGGTTTTTAGAACGGCGAAAGAGGCGCTATTCAAACACAAATTACCGAAGAACCAAAGTAATAATGCAATCGAAAATTTTCCTCAATGATGCGTTCTTGTGGAAATGGCTTTTTTCCGTTTCAGCTTCAGCTCCTTGATTGGCGGCGCTAAACAACGCCACAGATTCCTCCTATCTACATTCGAATTTGGAGTCCAAGACAGCAATGTTAGCACGTCACATACACAGTTTTTAACTATTTTTGACATAAATGAATAAATAAAATAAATCAATGTTTACTGCGTTTTGCTAATAACAAAGTCGGCCAATAACAACTCTATATCTTTTAAGACTTTATTGCACTCAATAAAATATTATATATTTTATTGAATATTATTTTAGATGAATAACGGGATATGTTTGAGATTGAATTGACCAAACCGAAACACAAAAAGTATTCAAAACAGTTGAGGAGCTCAGGATTATACCTGCCGATCCCAACCGACCTCGCGTTTTCACTTCTACCTTACTAAAACTTCTACCTTGTACCAATCTTATGCTCAAATATCAAATGAATTGGGAGGGGCAAAACCCTCAAATACCACCTTCAAAAATTTGTCCGCAGTGAACGAAAACAGAAAAGTCATTTTTCTCCAAACGAATTTCGGTTACGATCTGCCGTTATTATTGTGAGCGCCTCAAGTGATGACTGAAAATTATAATACATATCAAAATAAGACATAACCGTAGTGTAATACACTGCTCAATAGTCTGCAACTTTGAAAGAAAATATTTGTGGCTCACACGTCATCTTACTTGATTTCGGTGAAATGGATGTGATAAACTCAAACAGAATTCGACGACTAATGTTTTCCGGTCCCATTGTAAGTGGTCGTTCGGGTGCATCATGCCCGCTTCCGCATACCAGCAATTGTTTCAACCATTCGGAGGAGTCCGTCGAAATGGGTCAGCCTTTCTAACCTTTGGTCGTCGACGTCTTCGTAGTCCGTTTTTCAACGACTTCATTGATGCTTACTTCGCCGGTAATATCGAACAGCATGTAATTGCCCTGAAGGACATGATTAATAAACTTAAAAAGTAAAGGTAAAAAGTAATTAAAAAATATTCTTAAGACAAAATTGAAAGACTGAATGAAACTGAGCTGTTTACAGAAGCTACATTTTCCGCTTTCCTTGAAACGTTTCTACCTATCTATTTTCGTTTTGTGGTACAATTTTCATACAAGTATTATACTTTTTACTGGTAAGAAATCCATTTCTGAATGTCAATGCGTTAAATATTCAAAGTTTGTACGAATAATATATTAATGAGCCATTTGGCCAGTGGGGGAGAAAGCCTATCGAGAGCAACGGGCAGACTCTCGTAGGGGTGAGATGTGTGCTCCTGGATCAGGAAGGCAGCTCGGGGCCGGCGGCGGCGGCGGCGGCGGCGGAGGATGTGCAAGCACACGTATCGAAATAAGAAGAAAATGGCGTATCCTTTCTCGCTCAAGATCAAGGAAGAAGCATCGCCCCGTGTGAAACGGGCTTCGCATTGAAGCGGCCGAGGCGCTCGGGCGCTGGCCGGTTGCCAGGGCGGCGCGGCGCGGCGCGGCGCGGCGCGGGTGGCGCGGGTGGCGTCGGGAAGGGCAAGAAGCCCCCGCTCGCTTATGCAATGTAGTAGCGGCCAAAATTATTCGGGAGGTCCTCGGTGGGATATAAAATAACATTTAGTGGCAAGATCTACAATTAGAATGCCGTATGTACGAGGGCAGTTTTTTCCAACCTCCCATGGACTATAACAAAAACAAAGGGTAAATAAATAATAAATTGATTGCCAAAAGTTTTGTACCAATATGTATACTTTTCTACACAACCACCGTGAAAATTCAGGCATTTGTCGTAACTGTGAAGAAGCTTTTCGATTCCCTCTTTGTCCAACATTGCCGCTACTGATGTGAGGTGGGCGTGAACTTCGCTCTCAAGCCCTTGGTTTGGAAGCTTTAGCCTCCTAGCCAATTCGAGGAAGAGATGAAAATCACTCGCCGCTCAGTCGGGCAACACCTCTAATGATCAAGCCCGTTCCATCTGTTCCCAGATGCAGCTGTGGTTTGGTATAGCATCGCTGTGAGGGTCGGCGTCGTCATGAATGAGGGCTTCTGCAGAAGCTAGCATTCCTCATTAGTTTGAAGATTTACGCCGTATACGGGGCCCATTCTTTTGTACGTTTCTGATGCACTATTCCTTTCTTCTTGAAGGAAGCGAATAGCACTGCGCAGCTCGCACTTGCAGGAACGTTAATCGCAACAGCCTTTTCATGTGCCTTCAGACCAGCTCACATTGGCGAAATGGCGTCGGTGTTGGAAGTGGTTGTTGTAAAATAGATGCGCAATCATGTTCTGCGCAATCTGTTATTTTCTATTAGCGTTTACGTTACTTTTCAGGACGTTAGAAATGAATTAATTTCAATTTTTTCGTAATGATTTACTCTGCAAGAGCTGCCGACATCTAACGTTGTACATTTTTTCCCCTTTGTGTGTTATATGTGGGAAGAGTGGACTCGCATTTGCTGATGTGCGTGTGGATTTTTTTAAATGGTGTATTTGATACTGCGAAATATATTTTCTAAATTGCCTTTTCAAAGACCAACACGAAAATAGAAGAAATACAGCTCTGAAAGGTCTTGTGTTCGGGCAACATTCACGCCTGGCGAAAGACCATTTGAGTGATACTCTTGTTTGCCTAATCATGTTATTCCCTAAATGTATTCTACGTGCGTATGGCATCGTCTCCGGTTTATGCGAATATGACAACTTTGCACGACCTTAAAATTACTCTGTTTCTTCAGTATGCAAAAACAATTCGACGTTGTAAAAACTTTTTGGTATCACACATGATTTAGCCAAAAATACAAGGGCTATTCCATCGATCACGGGTACTATATTATGTCAGCCAATACACTGGCAAAAATAGAAACATACTCTGTGCTGTTAAATGCCACTGGAATGTTCTTCCAAATGCTGATACCTAATTGGTTCCTGGTCTAGGTTCCAACGAGTAGAGGAAAGATGTGGAAATACAAATCATTGTCCCATTAGTCAGAGAAGAAGGTGAATGACACTCCACAAGGTGTATGGCACTCCTGAGCATTTCTGGAACGCAGAAGTGCAATTTCCTACTGTTCGACCTACAAAGCCTCTAGCGTTTTCACTGAAAGTGCTGTCAGCTAGTCCACTAATCCATTCAAACACGATTCGGTGGTTGCGTGTCGTACAATATCAAATCGGTGTACTGAAGAAATTACATTTTGGTTAATTTGAAAGATATTAAATAGTGGCCCATTAGTTATGTAATGACCTACATATTATGCTTCTAGACTGTTAAACTACACATGAGAAATATCTGCACATAACGTTGTTTAGGGAATCTGCTTCTTCTCCATTTAGTGACACGTTTGGGTTATCCAAGATTATTCTAAAGAAATATCAAGAACTCCTGCCTGAACTGTACACATAGTTCCCTTAAAAAAATTGATTTCCATCTGGACGAACAAGGCCCTGGGAATTTCAAAGTGATCTGTCAACTTTGAGGGATACTTTATATTAAGACCCAAGGATATTTTCGACAATTTTTTTTTCTTTTACTGAAACAGAGCAAATTTGCCTCTAAAGGTAGTGTATGTCCGGTTTTCGTTAAAATCTGTGAATTTTTGAAATTGCAAACGTTTAAATTTGTTTCGAACCTATCTCACACTTAGTTGCTGAAGTCAGACATTTCTTTCTTAATGCAATCTGTTATTCGACATAAGATCACTAAACCATTTCAAGTACCGTTTTCGAAAAAGAGTAGATTTTGCGTAATTTTGTATCATCACAAGTTTTCATAAATGTGTAAAGCGAATTTCTCAAAAGCTGTTGAAAATGTTTTTCCTTCAACTTTCTGTAGGAATAGAACATAATACATTGATTTCTATGACATTAGTGTTTTTCATTCCATTAGAACTTTGGATTTTCAAAAAGGAAAGATATGCATTTTTGTGGATGCGTCCGGTCTACATCCTCTAACACACGTGGTGTTGCACTGGAAGCGTCACAAACCCCACGCGCCCGACGAAGCCCAGCCCAGCCCGTGGAAATTATTTTCGGAATGCATCATGTAGGTGTCTTGTTTCGAGTTTCTGCTTCCTCTCCCTGACTGTTATCACCTTTGGAATCCTTTTAATGAAAAGTGGCTACGTAGGGATATTGCAGTGGACAAGTATGGCATTCGACATTTGTCGGTAGTACCGAGTTGCTCATTGCTGTGACATGAAAATCAACATTTGTGTTGTGAAGGCGAAATGAGATGGTAATTCAAAACGATCGCTATCGAAATGAGCATCAGATGAGCAAAGATAATCACCATTGTTCAAATTTCACAGAAACACACCCAATAGAAACAACATTAAACAAGTTCTAGTTCGTTTTTCGACCTATCAATTGCGCGCGCCCTTTCAACACAGGTCCAGAAGAAGCGTAGACCGTGCGAAGGCGATTGACTGGCCAAAGACCATCCGTTCGCCCACGGGGCTTGGTCAACGGCTGCCGCGATTACGTGCCTGGAACGCGAGCGCGCGGATGGTTTGTGCGGCATCGGAACGCTCTTTGTTCTTGTTGCAGGTGAAATCCAAGGCCCGAGAACTATACGGCCAGACGTGTGCGCATTTGGCCTCCCAGGGCATGCTGGACTGTGACCTCTTCGGGCTGGCGTTCTTTTCCGGTAAGTAGCGTCTCGACACGGTTTGGGTCGCCGCGCAGGCGCTCACGTGGTCCTCAGCCACGCACATGCGGGCGAGCACCTCTTTCCGTGGCCTTGACATGTCTTGTGTTGCGCGGTCGAGCATTGCTTTGTAAGTTGGAAACAAAACCGCAGCTCTGATTACGTGTTATAACTTGTTTGAGTTCGTGAGAGGTCTACCCTAGCCTAGGCCAAGAAATCTGACTTTTGTTGGAACGTTTCTTCTCACCACCGACAGCAGCACGGTATCCGGATCCGACAGGTGAGGGGAGATTTGCCTTCGTTATGGTGGGCTTCGCGAAAGACGATGCAGCTACCGCAAGATGAAAGAACACGAAATAATGTTTGGACGCGGCCGTAGAAATCCTCGCTCTTTTAGGATTTGCATTTGTTCTGATCTGGCAGAATGTTTCTTATTATTTGTCATAGAGGTCATTTTTTCAAAAGTCCATGATAGTCCATGTGTTGGTACAATTGTCTCTTCACAAATATCATTTCTAGCGTTTAACATACACGCACTTCTGAAAGAGTGTCGTATTCAAAGAACATCTATGGGAAATCTCTAGTAACACGTATAAACTATGCGCATATACGACACCAGGGTTCAGAGAGACAATACGAGCATTGCCACTTTCTTTAGTCTTCCCAAAGCTCTGTTGAAGCGAAAGTGTACACTTTACGCGTAATCGTTGTCCCATAAGGTGGAAACGTCGTGATGGGATGTTCTTCCGCTAGGCGGCTGTGGCATGTGAACCTCTATCAAGAAGCTCTGGAAGAGGAATTGCTCAAGTGATTCCACATTCTACACGCACATTTTATGGCATATGAAAGCATCTGTTACCTCGATAGATTTTTGTCTAATAGTATACGCTCAGACCACCCACGTGGTAGCACGTGCAGGTTTCCTTCCTATTGGGGTCAGTCGTGTGCAAAAACTACTGTATGTAATTCTAATGCAAGTATGTTGTCCCGATTATTATATTCTATATTATGAATTTATCTATGAGCTCTGTATAACACTCGTCTTGTGTAAGATGCACTTCACTTGAGTTGCCGTTTGCTATCCTATTCGAAAAACGCACAAATTTACGAACCAAGAATACGTTATGCAAAATCAGAGAAAACGTATGTGACGTTTCACAACAGCTTCTGGAAAGATTCGAGTGCATCGGTGTGTCGGGCAGTTGATATTGGGGTCTCACAGCGCTACCTGAACAGACACAGTGCACACATTTCGCGAGTGTGAAGCTCCGCGACTGGGTTACGGAGGAGCATCTACCTTTCGCCTCACGCTCACCCCACCCCACCCCACCCCA